ATCTTCGAATTATATTTTTATGAAGACAGCAAGTCGGTCCATCCAAAATTTGCAGAATCTACATCATTTCTTTTTGTGTCTACATGTTTTTTTTTGTATCTGTAACTGAAATATCGTGAAATTTAATTATGTTTTTATATCATAAGTTTTAATAGAATTTGAATCCAAACATAGTTCATTTTTTATTTATTAACCGATAGTATACATTTATATATGCAACTCATGAGCTATTTATTGTCTTTGGAATTTGTCAGAATATATTACAAAACAAAAACTTAAAGATTCAGAATTATTGTATAAAAAATTTAGATATTTCGTCAAAACTAGGTGTTATCCAATGGTAAAATAGTATTTGTGTCTAGTAATAAATTCAAGTGGCTTTTACGTATTATACGGAAAATTTATATTATTATTCAAAAGAATATAATTAAGAACCTCTGCAAAATTCTTCAAACCTTACAAAATAGAACAATCCTTCGTTAAAAATACTACTAATTACTGCAAAAAAGCCAGATACTTTTACTTTTACTTTACTTATACAATAAAAAAATATATTACAACAAATGTATCCAATCAATTGCTTAAACACCACTTCTAGAATGATATTTACTTTTTATCGTTTGTAATGTATAGTTTTAGTTATATTAAATTTTAACAGAAAAAAATCTTTGAGCACGAAAATTTCCGAAAATGTATTTTTCTTAGAACCAAATAAATATTTAAAGAACAAATTATAATTAGTTAATAAGTGAAATGTGTGACTAGGTTGTAACAAATATTAGTAAAATTCATTCATTCAATGTTAAATTTTGAATACTATGCTCGTGTCCTGAACTTGTTTTATGTAAACAAACATACTAATACATCTACGAGCATTATCTTTAACTAAGAAAGGAAACGAACTCACCTTATAGTATCTAGTAGTATTCTGATTGTGTCACCTGAATAAAAATTAAAGTAAAAAGGAGGAGATTAAATAATTGATAATTGGATGTCCTAATTAAGTGCATAAATTAGCAAGAATAACTTCTTTATCCAAAACATAAAAGGGGTTAAGAGAATATAGATCTAATTGCTTACTATATCAAGAAATATGAATTGCTTATAATACCCTCTTAGCCAGATAAATGTATAGAGAAAATATTTGAACTAGATGCATAAAAAGAAACATCGACGAGGATGGGTCGAAAGAAAACAAGGAATGAATTAAGAGAGCAAATAAAAATACAAAATAACAAAAGAAAAATAATAAGAGAGAATGGAGATAAATAGATCATAAGAAAAAGAAAACATGTTTGGTCCCTTTTGAGATCACATCAATCTTGACCACAATCCAAAATGTAGGCAATGGTCGACACTCAAATTTTTAGCCAAAACCGTTGGCTACACAATTTCTACACCAGTCAAATATATTAAATATATTTAACATGATATTTAAAGATAAGATAAGGTGGTATTTCAACTTAATAAATCATATTAGATCAACTAGTTCTTTAATTTTTACAAAACGAACAAAATCAAGCTAGCTAAGTCAACCGTATAACAAAAATGGAAAACTCAGAAATGGATTTTAGTTCTCTAAAATGTAGACTGAAAATAATATTTAATTATTTTTAACTTTAATTAAAATATTTTTTTAAATACCGGGTCCGCACAAAATTGAATTCAAAGGAACTAAGTTTTTTTCTTAGTTTTACTTGTTTTTTTATACTGACAACATTTTTTGTCTTTTTTTCAGCCTAGTGGCAGAAATATACCACTTTAAACTCAGCTTTAGGTGAAATTCGAACTCAGTCATGTTGAAAATGACATGAAAGATTAAAGATTCTAGTCCAATCAACCACTATAAATGTATCGATCATTTGAAGTTGTTAACTCCATGCTTGCTTATGAAAAATGTCTTGAAATACTAGATAAATTCGACTAAACATGCAGTGCCATGAATATACAATGATAGGCTTGAGAGTTTTGTTTTTCTCAAAGAAAATAAAACAATATTGGAAAAAGACAAAAACAAAAATCACATAATATCTAGCTATGATACACAAGTTTTATCTACCACAACATATATTCTAATAGAGATTGTGTAGATAACGAGCAAAGTACAATACAAATGACCTAGATATACCTTTATTTTAGGAATCTATGGTCCCAAGTAACACAGTAACTCACTGTTCTTTTTGTTTACTTGTTTTATTCCTTGTTTTTAGACTTTACATAAGGTTCAAAACAAAAATATTCCATATCCATTGTTGACAACCAAAAAAATCCCATATCCATTTCGAAGTAA